CCTCCTTGGCCCTGCTTGAGATGCATCTGTGGATGCACAAGGTACGGTTAGCCCTACTGACTGTGGCCTCACATTGTCAGCCCATGTTCATCTTGGAGTCAATAATGACTCCAAGATCTCTTTCTGCCACCATGCTCTCGAGAAGGGAGTTTCCCAGCTTATAAGTGTGCTGCTGGTTCCTACTGCCCAAGTGCAGCACCCTGCACTTGTCAGTATTGAAACCCATCCTATTTTCATTAGCCCACCCCTATAACCTGTCCAGGTCCTGCTGTAATCTGTCCTTCCCTACTAGCGTGCCTACCTGACCCCAAATCTTGGTATCATCAGAAAATTTAAACAGGCTGCTTTTTACCCCATCGTCCAAGTCACTAATAAAGAAATTGAACAATGCAGGCCCAAGGATCAAGCCCTGGGGGACTCCACTGCCCACTTCCCTCCAGGTCGAAAAAGACCCGTCTACCTCTACCCTCTGAGTATGACTCTTCAGCCAATTTGCAATCCATCTGACTGTGTAAGCATCAATGCTACAGTCACCTAGTTTTTTTGATGAGAAAGGGGTGGGAGACAGTGTCAAAGGCCTTGCTGAAGTCCAGAAAAACTACATCCACCGCGACACCTGTGTCTAATGCTTTTGTAACCTGATCGTAGAAGGCAATCAGGTTGGTCTGACAGGACCTACCCCAATGAAACCATGCTGGTTGCCCTTGAGCATCATCCCTGCTGCTGGACCATCACAGATGTGTTTCTTGATGATCTTCTCAAAGAGCTTCCCCAGGATTGAAGTAAGACTAATGGGCCTATAGTTGCCTGGGTCCTCCCTCCTCCCTTTTTTGAAGGGAACTTTCAGTACTTTCAGTGGATTTGATTTTTGCTAGTAAGGAAGAATTTAGCATTTTGATTTGTAATTTTCCTTTTAATTTCTACCAAGGTGTAAAGATTGAGATTTGAGTTGATGGGTTTTTTGTTTGTTTGTCTTGGGAAAGAGCGGGGGTTGTTGCATCCAATTACATTATAATGGGTCTTGTACCAGGTAAGGAGACTAAGACATGGTTGTCCTAAACTATAAGGTTTACTGAAGCCTACTAGATACAATGCTAAATTAAAAATAAATGCAATTTCAGCAATTATAATTTTAGAAATGTAGCTAGTCAATGTAAATGCTCACCACCCCACAATACTGCGAACACAACTTCACTGATTGATCAGGCCGTGACGTCTTGTCTGGGGGCAAGTAGTGTTTTGATAAGACTACTAACTGGCTCCCATTTCTGATGCTGATGTAGGATCTTGGATCGATGACAGGATCTCTTCAGGCTTACTTCAGGAGTGGTCCGAAGGGTATGCTTTTTCACCTCTCTTTATATGCCATATAGCTTGCATTTCTTAATACATAAAGCTAGCTTAAGCCTGCCTGCCTTCTAATGCATATTAATAATCTTGAGTCTGTTTGCCAAATATTGTTACCTGTAACTGAAATTTTCTATTCTGAGGTAATCTTTCCATTCTTAGGTGTGGGTAGGTTTTGCTCTGACTTCCTCTTTTTGCTAGACTATATTTATTCAATTTAGTTAGCCAACTTTGCGATTCATTTAGAGTCAGGGACAGTATTTTTTTTCGTCTGCTCCTTTCACCAGGTGCAAGTCTCTATCACAATTCAAGCTAAGCATGCAGCTTAAGCTAAACACAAAGGTCAAAACCCAGGTCTGAAGGCCTCTGGGTCCCAACGAGGGGGAGAAGGGTCATCGTTGTCATTGTTGCCTCCCCCCCACAAGTAGATGTAATATCCTATGGTTGGATATACCTGTTTGTCCAGCAGTACTGTGTTTTGAATTGCAGATTGAATCACTGCTGTACTATTTTATACTTCGGAGAAAAGAGTTTTACTTAACTTGATAGCAAGTTGACTTCCGTCTCAGCCTGAGGTTATACAATAATAAAAACATATTACTTTAAACTCCCTCAGATGTCTATAGCACACTTTAAGAAAAAAATGTAATTTTTTTTCCCAGGAAGTTTTCATTCTTATTCCACCGCTAGGTGGCATTGGGTGATTGTCTCTCACTTGTCAGTTGCTAAGAACAAGCCTTGCAATATACTTGGTAATGCACTTTCATTAATATTTCAAGCTGAAAACGTAGGTGTCACAGTACACATATTATATTAAATGCATCTGAATTCTAAGTAGAATTATAATGCTGTCACAAAATAATGCCCCCTTGGTTCTCACCAAGTTACATGGCATGCATATCATTTTGCTGGAATGTGATTCTGGAGGTACTAAAAGTGACTACATTTCAGTTTGCATAGCTTGTCTAGGCAGATAGATCAGTTTAGTGTCTTCAGAGATTATATTCAATGCTGGCAGGAAGAAGGTGGTTTTGGAGACTATATTAATAATCTCAGAAGACTAACTGAAAATAGTAATGCGAGATGCTATAACAAGGTAGAATACATGTGCTGGAAGATTCTTTTGACTGCTATCTAAAACACGTGACCAATTCTAATGGCCCAAATTAAATTTTAAAAAAAGATTGTAGTAGTTACAGAGTTTTGATAATGTGCAGTGCTAAAGAAAGGTCAGCAGGTTCTTCCAGAAAAAAATTACACCTTGCTATTTAAAATGAAGGATTATGCTGCATATTTTATTATACCCTCTGTGGCCAATCCTGAATTTTTCTGCCATGAAACAGTATGAATGCATTGAGAGAATACACATTGTTGTGCATTGCTTGGCAGTTGATGCAGGTGCAATTCCAGTTGCAACTAAACTGAGGGTTAACATGCTTTAAGGATTCCCTTCTGTGAAGCATTTACAAAATCGTCCCTAATAAATAAAAAATTACTTTATTTCAACATAGTTCCAGCTGTTCAGCAAACATATTTATGTTTAGTTTTGTGATTTAATTCTCTTTTCCAGACTCTCAGTTGAGGTAACTGATTTCAGTGACATTAAACTGAGGGTTCATCTCCTTATTTATAAAGATTAAGATGGGGGGGATGGCACAGAAGCTACCAAAAATTGATTTGTTTTCATTACGCTGCAAGGTTAGCTGTTCTCAACTTCAGCAATTCAGAAACTTTGACAAAGTATGTTCATTTATATTGATGAACATGAGCCTGCAATGCGATGCGGCGGCTAGTAAAGTGACCAAAACGCTGGCTTGCATCCATAGATGCTTCTCAAGCAAATCTCGGGACGTCATTCTCCCCCTGTACTCGGCCTTAGTGAGGCCGCAGCTGGAGTACTGTGTCCAGTTTTGGGCTCCACAATTCAAAAAGGATGTGGAGAAGCTTGAGAGAGTCCAGAGAAGAGCCACGCGCATGATCAGAGGTCAGGGAAGCAGACCCTACAATGACAGGCTGAGAGCCCTGGGGCTCTTTAGCCTGAAAAAGCGCAGGCTCAGGGGTGATCTGATGGCCACCTACAAGTTTATCAGGGGTGACCACCAGCATCTGGGGGAACGTTTGTTCACCAGAGCACCCCAAGGGATGATGAGGTCGAATGGTCACAAACTACTTCAAGATCGTTTCAGGCTGGACATAAGGAAGAACCCCCAAGGTCTGGAACAGCCTGCCACCGGAGGTGGTTCAAGCGCCTTCATTGAACACCTTCAAGATGAAACTGGATGCTTATCTTGCTGGGATCCTATGACCCCAGCTGACTTCCTGCCCTTTGGGCGGGGGGCTGGACTCGATGATCTTCCGAGGTCCCTTCCAGCCCTGATGTCTATGAAATCTATGAAATTGTAGTGGAGGCTTTGTTTGGGTTCTGCATTTGGGTTAGTTGTATGTAGAGGTGGTCACCTGTGATCTTTTATGCAAGTAAAATACATTGCTAGCTTTAGTTTCCTTAAAAAATATTTGCAGGAACTGGTTTTGTTTTGTTTTTATTTGGTTTTTTTACATTAAAAATCTTGTGCATGTCTTAGGAGGTACAAATATTTCTTAACATTAATATGCTTAGGAAATTTAGTGGGGATGCTCTTCATCATTTTCACAGGTAAACAAAAATTTCTGCTGGCATATAGAGACTCCTAGCATGATGTTAGAGCACCTTTGGATTAAGTCAGTTGCATTAGAGTGTTTGCTGCAAACAGAACATTTGTATGGGAAAGTTTTTGTACTATGGAAAATGTCAAGGAGCTTTTGGTGCTGCCAATCAAATAATGTTCTCCTACATTTTTTTTTCTAGGAAGTTTCTGGAATGCCAGCTCTTTGCTGTCCCGTTACAGAGGGAGGAGGTGGATTTGATTATCGAATGGCCATGGCAATTCCAGATAAATGGATACAGGTGAAAAAAAAACACAATCTGCCTCTTTTAGAGGCTTGGGACTCTTGGAATAAGAATGATGGGTAGTCTGTCTTTTGCTTGATTTAGGTTTTTCCTATTTTTTTGTCAATTATGGCCTTCTAGGTTTTGGTTGGATTCATCCTGAATCATACTTTTAGAATCTGTAGTACAACAATTTAATGTTATTGTTCTACACTGAAATAAATAAATAAATAATGTATGTATGGGGAGGGATTGGCATGTGTGAATATGATATGGTAAAAATGAATCCTCTAAATTGAATGTAGTATATATATTTTTATCAAACATTATAGCTTAAAGTAAAAAAAAAAAAGTTACTTAATCTATGGACCACACACCAGTCATCACTAGGATGTAGTTTATAAAAAGAAAAATAAAAGCTGTAAGTGGTTCTCAAGAGCAATAATGTACTAAATAAACACCAACTCTTATAAGATAGGGATTTAAATCAGCCTCTCTTTAATACAAGGAATTGCAAGAAAAGGAATAAAACAATAAGTGATCTCAAAAGGCTGTCAGAGACATTTCAGAGAATGTCTTTCAATTAGACATAAGATTACAAGCAAATCCCCAATGATATCATGATAATCTGAAAGCAATAAAGGTAATAAATATTTCATTGGAACATTAATGTCCTCAATAACAGCAGAGAGTAGCTTAAAGGAAAATAAAATGGGAATTACATTATCCTTAGTTTCTTCACTCTCAAAAGATAGGCAAGTCCTGAAGTACACAAACAATTTCAAACCTGTGGGTTCCTCCCATCCTTTTACATTGAAAATAAATTAGCCAGTGATCCCAAAATGATATTGTGAAGTTTTGGAAGTATGAAGGAGATCTTCAGATAAATTGAAGTACCTAACTCCCTCGCCGGATACCTGCATATCCTTGCAGTGGGAAGTAAGAGCTGGGGCTAGTGAGGACTGTTAAAGGCTTTCTTTCTCTTGTCTCCTAGTGACTCAAGAAAGCTAAGTAGGGGGTAGTAAGAACCAAGGTTGTTCTTTGAAAATAGAGAGTCTGTTAAAATGTTCAGTAAGGTACTTTGGGGGTCCAAATATTGATGAATGTGAATGTTGATTGCATGCATTTTACAAGTGCTGCTTACAGTTGAATTGGTGATACATCCCTTCTGTTTGATATTTTTATTTGCATTCCAAACTGTACTTGAAGGTTATCCACATTATTTTTATCATACTCCTCTTTTCCCCCCCACCCCCAATCAATAAGTGGAAGGTGTTAGGGATCATATGACACTATGACACATGCTACTTTTAAGCCTAGTCTGTCCTATTCCATGTTTTGACTTTTCTGCTAATAACTTCAAAGTTAGGGTTGCTCATATAATGGTGTGCACTGAATACATGGCATGGAAGTATGGGGAGTGGTAGAGGCAAAACTGCAGTTTATGAATGACTGTAAGGCAAGTATGGACTGGAAACCTGTAGTATACAACACCTATAGAAACCCTCTTATTCAGAAGAAGCAAGGATTGATATGCAGATTGTACAACCAGTTTTGTTCTTTCCATGCAAAAGTTTAAGCCTTCTTAAGATGCCTAACTTGGATGCTGAGCATGGTATCATGGTATTCCATGAACTAGAGCTAAAGGTCACCAGCCTACAAATCTGCTTAAGTATTTATGCTAACGTATTGCCAGCACTTTCTAGGGTGCATGAGAGGTAGTTGCAAAAATGTTTAACTTCATGATGTCGTGTTAAGTTCCCCACTTGTATTAATGGCATTCTTTTTTAATGTAATTCTTCAGAAATAGGTTTTTCTTCCGAGGTTAAATTTAAAACACAAATAATCAAAGGAGGCTTATAAAGCATTACGAAACAAAAGAGAGGTATTTTACACTGAAGTCGTGATGCTTAGTGAACCATTAAAATGGTGCCTAGTATCCCTTGATGTTCTTATAAAGCAGAAAAGATCAATTTAAATAACATTGACATACCACAGTTATTAATCAAAAGTTGGCAGCTGATATGGAAGAGAATTATAAAATACAGGTTTAGAGATTTTAAAGTATAACACAGAATTTGGGGAGCAAAATCCCATTTGGGATATCAAATACAGGAACTGCATCACTTCAAAGAAAAATTTTTAAAAGGCTAAGAATTATAATGAAAATTTTACAATTTAAGGGGAACTTTAAATCCCTAAATGCCATGGGGAAATATGTAATATAGTTTAGTTAAAACTAAAGTAATGTTTGAATGACCTTTTGATTTTTTTGATGTTTTATTTTTACAGATAATTAAAGAGTTGAAAGATGAAGACTGGGATATGGGCAATATAGTATATACACTGACCAACAGGAGGCACGAAGAGAAATATATTTCATATGCAGAGAGTCATGACCAGGTATTGAAAATATCTCTTTAATAAGAAAAGAGAAATTATTATACTTTATGTCAGTTGGTGCTAAAATTGATTATTCTCAAGATTTTTTTTTGAATTCCTAGGATAGAAAACTTATTATTATTAACCTGTAAAGGAACCAGGCTGAACAGTGTTGAAAATCCAGGCTTCTGTGAAATAAGTCAAATGGAGCACCAAAATTGATGGCTTTGATCCTTCTACAAATGTGATTGACTGATTTAAGGCAGTCTTAAACATCTTAGCTAGAATGTTTCCATTATTAAGGTTATCAAGGAAGATTGTTATCTCAATCTCTGGAAAAAAAATTGAGAAATAATCCAGAAACTTCTTTTAGCAGATATAATGCTTTGTAGGGGGCCTTAATTTTCTGAGTACACAGAAGAAAATATAGTACATTAAGAAAAAAGGCCACCTTCATTGGAAGACAACAAAGGTAGTAAAAAAAATAAAAAAGTGTCCTACATTAAACTAAAAGACCAAAACAGTATAAGCACTAGATAGTGAATGCTGAAACCCTTGCAAAGCCATATTGAAATATTGCAAATGAAGGGTGGACTAGCTTTCTGCATCTCGATTCCTTCTTAAATTTAAGATTTGCTTATTTTCATGTTTTCTGTTACTATCATACATTTTGCCATCCCATGAAGAAGAAAAAGGTGTCAGCTTCCAGCCACCAGAATGAGGCACGAGTTGACTAAAGAAGTGGAACCCTGCATGAAAAAATCCAGATGAATATGTAGTTACCAGCATGCACTGGAGTAGAGGATATGGGGAGAGAAACAGACCAGTAGACTAGGGAGTTATGTTTGCTAGTATGTGATTATCCCTTTGTCCTTCATATTTAGTTTCTCTTTAGATAGCTACAGTATCATTGGTATCCAACTCCACAAATTCCTAACGAAGACTGCTGAGTGCTTCTGCAAAATGTAGCGAGTTTTTGTAGTTCTTCATTTCCATTAAATGTGTGCTCTTGGTCTCAAGATTTGCTTAATACAATGACCATTTAAACAAGATCATGAAAAGTTTTTACTCCTCTTTATTTTGAAATTATCTTGTCAATTATATTCTCATCTAGCTGCTATCATACTACAGTATTTTTATTTTGAATGCAGTTTGAAACATAATTTCATGGGAGACTTAAAAAACAAACAAACAAGGTTCTTCTTTTTTCTACATCAAGAAAAGTTTTTGCTCTCATGTTCTTAGCTTAAGACTTTATTGAAAAGATATTAGTTTACCTTTCAACTTGGACTACTTATTACTTAATGTATAAAAGAAAATGAATACTCAAAATTAGAGTGTAAATGAGTAACTGATTGATACAATTAAAGCTATTTGTAAGCATACAAAACAATATTTGTAAAAGTACTTGGATATGTGTTTCAAAGCTTTCTAAAATATAAATCTGGGTAGATAGCATTTACAGTTCACTACAGATTATAAACACTAGCACAGTGCCTGTGCAGAAATTGAGCAGTCTTTTCTTTAACAGATTAATAGAAAATCTTGTTCCAGTTAAGCTCTCCTGCAAAACAACCTCTTCTATGGAATAAGGTTTTGTTCTTGATGAAAGGGAAACCCTATTTTCTTTCCTGGGCATAAAGATGTGTACAAGTGGCAAATGCTGGAGTCAGGTTTTGAAGCATTCAAAATGGCATCATTTAATATATTGCATCAGTTTCCTACAAATCCAGCTATTTTTTGTGGCCTGTAAAATAAATATTTGGTTTACTGGACACAGCATGTTCTGACTCTGCCATCAAGCTGCCATTCAGGAAATTTTGGTTATTTGAAGTCACTGGCAGAACTGTGGGTTTTTTTTTATGAGGCCAGCGTTTTACTGCTTGAGATCTGGGTCAAATTGCTTAATTTCTGTATTAGTTCATTTTCATATCTCTAAAATGGAAGTAATGTTATACTTAACAGGCAGCTGAAGTGGTCTTATAAAGGTTCAGAAGTATTTGCACAGCACTTACTATTGTATGGTTTTCAGTAGTTTTTTTTAAGTATTTTGCCGTTATTATGACTTCTCCTTTACTGTACTATGCAACCTGAAAATGATTATTTTTCAATTAAGGAAAGCCTTCTCCAAATTTAAGACAGAGGGGGTGCATCCACACATGCAAGCACATGCACTTGCAGCAGCTCAAATAGAAGTGGTGCAAATTTGAGCCGGGCCTTTTTGCCTCAGCGCACGTGCTTGGAAATGCACTTTTTTGTGGAGCAAATTGTGCCACTTGGGATAAAAAACCCTGCCTGGTTCCTCCCAGATCTGCAGCCAGGGGAAGCTAGAGCCTGGGGCCAGCACCTGTGCTGTCCCCAGCAGTATAAAAAGCCACCTTGGCAAGTAGCTCAGGGCTACTAGCTCTCAAGAGCTTCTGGGGCTCAGCAAATTGGTACCTGGGGACACTATCCTTTGTGTCAGCTGGACTGCAGAAGAAGCCCTGAGAGTTCCCTGCACCCTCTACCCACTGTAGAGGTCTGGCAGTGGGGGCTGCTGCCTGGCTGTGACCTGCTGCACACCTGCCAGACCTGGATGGGGACTGCACAGCCAGTAGAGGCATCTGTCCCTCTGGGCCAGCTGCCAGTGGGCTGTGGCTGCAGGGTTGGCCTTTGTGAAGCACTCCTGCCACGTGTGCCCCTGCCTGGCCATCTGGGCATCTATTGCCCAGAAGATGTTCTGGGTGTGGTGGCCTCCTTTGAACTGCCAAAGCCTGTCCTCTTGGCCCCAACTAGCCAGGAAGTCAGCCACAGCCAGCTGTGTCCAAGGTGCCAGCTCTGAGCAGGCAGGGTGCTAGCAGGAATTCTGGTGTTCCCTATTGCAAAACTGAAAAATCCCTGATAAAAAAAATCCCAAAGTCACTCAGTAAAATACCCCCAAATTCATGTTCTTCCACAAGTAAAACAAAAGACCACTATAAAGAGAGAGAGAGAGAGACAGAGTTAGCAATCAGTTGGACAGTGTTTTATTGATATATCTACAGTATTAAAGCATATAATAATAAAGTGAACTCTAAATGCATGATTCATGAATATATATTTTGCTGCCCTCCCACAGGGGTTATGCCCCACCCCCCAACAGGGGCTTCGGCCCCCACACAAAGACTATAGCCCAACAGGGGCCAAATGCAAGGCCCACATGCCTCACCTCAGCCCCCCAATTGCTGCCCCACCTGGCCCCATCCAACACCAGCTGCTGCAGCCTTCCTGATGGCTGCCCCACTCCCCCTTCCCTGAGAGCCCCCCCAGTGGCTGCCCCATCCAGCCTCACACCCCATTTGCACCCCCAGACCTTAGAAGCAGGGGTGGGGGGGCTCCAGGGCCTCCTGGCAGAGCCCTCTAGGCAGCACAGGGCAGCGGGGGACAGGAGGGCCTGGGCTGAGGCTGTCACTCTGCACTGCACTGTGTGGGCAGGGCCCCAGTCAGCCAGATGGCAGCTGGAGCTGCTGGTAAGTGCCAGGGTTTGGGTTTTTGGTTTTTTTTGTTGTTGTTGTTGGTTTTTTTTTTTTAACTATGGGGTGCAGGGGAAGTATCAGGGTGGATGGGGCCAGGCAGTACAGGGGTTTTGGGGGGCTGGCAGGGGGAGGGGCTG